GGTGTCATAACTCATGCCAATAGGAGTAAAGTTCCTCCTAAATGGTTTCTTTTGTCCTTGATTATTCATAGCAAGGACTTCGCCTAGGTTAAAAGTGCTAACGTTGTTTGAGTGGGTGGTTTTGGAAGAAGAAGGATTGTCGTTCTTCTTTCCTTTCCAGCCACTGTTGGAGCTATTGTTGGCAACTTTCAACTTAGCCAGGTCGTCTTCAATATTGATTCCAATGTCGTAGACGGCCTTGAATGTATGGAGATTATTTTGATACTTGAGATGCTTGGAGTATTTTTCTTGAAGGTTTTTGATGAATAACCTTACAGACTCTTTTTCACTTGGCACCTCAATCATCTTAGCTGAGGTTTCTCTCCATTTGTTAAAGAAGGAGGTGAAGCCTTCGTTCTCTTTCTGCTTGAGGATTTCAAGTTTCCTATGGTCAGTCTCAACTTGAATGTTGCATTTGTATCTATCAACGAAAGCACTTGCTATGGACTCCAAGGTGGAGGTATTTTCCTTCTCGAGAGAAAAGAACCATTGCTGGCAAACGGTCTCGAGAGATAGTGAGAACAGAGAGGGGAACACCTTCATATCGATACCCTTAATACTCATTATTGTCTCGAAGGCTCTTAAATGAAAATTAGGGTTATCAATTGCTTTGAATTTTGGGATGTCGTTGGCATTGAACTTCTGCGGAAGAAGATCTTTGTCCACCGAGACCCCTTGTGAACTAATCCCTTAAAACTTGTAGTCGCTAGATAGCTTGTTTAGACTCTCTTGCATGAGGTCCATCTGTTGTTGTTTCACAGGATCATCGATCTTAGGTGTTAGGAGCTTCAGTGTTTCAATCACGGTAACCAGTTGGTTCCTAAGCTCATTGACTTCTTCTTGTGTTGCCATTATTGTCCCAGCTTTCCTCTTACGAGCTATGGGTTTGTCAAAAAGTTGGACTTGTACGAAGAGGTTGTCTTTGATTAACCGTCCTTCCTTTCTTGACCACGTGCTGTAATTTAAACCATTGCGTTTTAATTACTTGACTCAAGTCGACCTTGACTTTACGATTTTAAAAGGGAAAAATGAAAAAATAGGTGCATATTTTTTGGCAAAAATAATGAATATATTTTTTAGAAATAAATATGGTATTTACATTGGAGGATTAATATCTGACTTACCCCCCTAAAAAAATGACGGAAAAAACGCGTATACGGGTCTCTCTTAAACTTGGTCAAAGTGTGTGTATTGGTGTGTGCGTTGAGTGTAAGTGACATGCTTGGATTCTTGTGTAAGACCATGGGACTTAGTGCCTAGACTCAATTAATGACTTAACAAAGTATTATTGACAGTAAAATTTAACTGAATTGATTAGTAAACTGGTTAATTAGACACAAAATGATGACTCGATCAATAATCTGAACTGTCGTCAAAACGACAGGACTGGCGCCTCTCTTTGCAGTGTAGCGCCAGACGACAGAGCTTTCGCCAGGTGCCACACTCCACAGAGTGGCGCTACAGTTCTGAATTTGTTGCCATTGCTGGAGCTTCAATCTGAAACTGTTTTCGGTGTTATTAATCAACAGGGGTATGCCTAAAGTCGTACTAGGTCTTGGTTAAAATATTAGACTTTATTTACTCAAATTAATTAATTAGGCAAAGTTATTTTAGTCATTAATTTATTTAATCTTAACACAAGTCTAACAAAAGGCTAAGAAAAACATAGTATATGCACAACAAATATTACACAATTAGTCAAGTAGGCTCGATATGATGCAATGAGTTTGCAACCTAACCATGGCTCTAGTTCTCTAAAGTTCGGGATATGGGTTAATCAATAGAGGGTCCGTGGTTAATTTTCCGGATGCACCGCGCGGAAGCCTAACCGTGAAGGGTTGGCGCGAGGGGATGGGACACCGCGAGTTTTAGAAAAAACTCGCTTCCATGGTTTGGTGAATTCAACAATCTCGGATGTACCCTTTGTTGCTCAGAGCGTTCAATCAGGTAGATGGAGCATGAGTTCCCAGAGGGTTATGTCCATATGTAGAACACATATGGGTTTCATAAAAGTGAGAAAAACTCAACCAGGAAGTAGGATCGAGTAAACAATGCGAAAAACTGGTCGAAATTAGAACGCATATTTCTGGCTCGGTATTGGAAGAAATTGGCGCCAGCAAACAGAGATTGGCGTCGGATTTTGGCTTTAGCACCTGGCGAAAGAGCTGTCGTCTGGCGCTACAGTCAAAAGTCCGGCGCTAATTTTCTGTTCGCTAACGCTAATTCCTACATGCCTCAGCAGCTTTCTGTGCTCGATAAAATTTTCTAGTTTTGCGTAGTGTTATTTTGGTCCTAGTTGTGAAAGATATTCCTCAAATTTCCAACGTGTAAAATCCTATGTTTTAACTCATTACGGATGGTCTTTCCAATGAGATCTTTTTTATGCATATGACAATAATGTTAATCAAAATTACGCACATGAAATACTTAGAACGTTTCAAGTCTCATCCACTCATTCTAAATCATTGACGAAATAAATTTCACCAATTAAAATAGAAATCGTCCCCAGTGGAGTCGCCAAAAACTGTAGGGAATATTTCAAGCGTTATCCCTAGCTTGAACCCCACTGTGGTCATACACTAAAGTACGGTGGCGTCCAAAGGGAAAGAAGATAGAGCAAAAGAGTCGCCAACAAGTTTTTTTTAGGAACTTGTAAACCGTTCACAAGGTGAAGGTTACACCCCTTAACGATCCAAGAGATCGTCAACCCCATAAGGTCTTGAACCAAATAGGTTTCGGGGATGAAGATACAAATCCAACCTAAAAGATATTGAACCTGCCCTAATAATAGACCTCTACTTTATTCAGATCGTATTCATGTGCGCTTTTTGATTAACATGCAATCATTAGGATTAACCCTAAACCTGTTTAATCTATGTTGGTTGAATATTAATGCACAAATAAATCTATTATTGGCGATCACTTGAATTATAATCATATTAACACTAAACAAGATTATTAATTATCTTATTAAGCATGATTACAAGTACAAATTCCCTTTAAACATGCATAAAAGGCGTGATCAAGCAATAACAATAAATAAGCATCAAGCAACATAATAATAATCATGACAATAATAATAATAATCATGGTCATAATTAAAATAATCATGTTAAACCATAATATTAATAGCAAGATCCTAGGCATGATACTAATAAGATTAATAACAAACCCTAGCATGTCACTAAACAATAAATATCAAATATTTAGCCCTAACATGATACTAACAATCATAAATATTAGGAAGAACATAAAAGGAATCATAACAATCATACTTAATATTAAAGTTACCCTAGACATGATACTAGGAATATCATAATAACAACCTAAGCATGATTTCTACATAATATCAATTAAATCATTAAAGTACTTACTTAGATGCCTCATACCTCTTTCTAATAACAAAATACACACGTTAGTAACTTCAAAGAAAAATAAGAAACAATAATTAAATTAAATAATTGAAAGAGAGATTTGGGACCAAACCCTCAGAAATTAAACCTTTCACGTCTAGGGCGAAGGCAATTTCGAATATGGCTAGGTGTATCTAAATCTAATGAATGCGGAAGTTTTATATTTGAGAGAAGGCTAGTTTAGAAAAGAGAGAGAGAGAGTAATCAAGAAAATCTTGATGAGAGTTGGTGAATGAAAACGAGTTTTTAGGAAGCTATTTATAGAGAAAATCAGCCAAAGAGATAAAACATAAAAAACAGAGTTCTGACGCAAAAAACCATATTAGCGCCAAACGCTGACGTTAGCGCCAGGCGCTACAGCTAGCGTTTGGCGCTGACTAAGAAATTGACGCGTTTTCTTAAAATCAGATAGAAATTGCCGTACAGGAGGATAAAATCGTATTTTCCTCAAAAACGTTCTTTTATTCTGATTAAAACTCTAAAAAGTCAACAAAAGTCAATTTATCAATGCTAATTAAATTAGGAATGAAAAGAACCTTCTAGAAGAATCTAGAAGACTAAAACCATTCCTAATTTCACTAGGAATGATATATCCATATTAGGCCCTCCTCTAGATCATTGGGCCGCATATAAGGCTCAAACCGGGCCCAGTTTGGTAATTTGGCCATAATTTCTCAATATTCATCAAAATTGGGCTTATAATATATTGTTGGAAAGATCTTTTCAAGCCCCATCCAACTACACTACTATTGGACCCATATCGTGGACCAACCAAACTGGATTGACTGTTTTCTTAAAATAGGTTTTCAAAAATAGAGAGAAGAGAAAAGAAATTAAAACTTTCCGCAACACTAAACTTTCCACACTTTCACTTCGTTCGATTATGATTCGACGAGAAAGATACTCATCACTGGGTTTGGTTTTGGGGAGACACAAATGGGTGTCTACACTTAGTGGTTATTCACTCATTTGAGAAGTTTAGAACCTACCTCATTGGCTCTAGGACAATTGTGAATACCGACCACTCGACTCTCAAATATTTGACAGGAAAGAAGGAATCTAAACCGAGGTTGTTAATATGGGTTTTAGTTCTCCAATACTTCTATTATGATATGAGAGACAAGAAGGTTGGGCGATGCAAGGTTTCAAGATGATGGTTTACCAATAGAAGATGCTCTAAGGGATGATGTGCTATATGTCCTTCAGGTGAAGTCGGAGCCATGGTATGCGAATATTGTGAATTATTTGGCTTGTAGTGTCGTACCTCCGGATTTCACTTCACAACAACGTCGAAGACTCAAGCATGAGGCCAAGAGATACATTTGGGATGCTCCTATTTTATTGAAGAGAGGGGTCAATGGTTTTTTGAGGAGATGCTTCCCCAACGACAAGGTTCAAAGTGTTCTCCATATGTGCCACTCTTCTCCTTGTGGTGGGCATATGAGTGCTCAAAAGACCGCCTCAAAGGTTCTACAAACTATGCTCTTTTGGCCTTCTCTATTCAAGGATGCTTGGATTTTTGTTAAGACTTGTGATGGATGTCAACGGATGGGGAATATTTCTAGGAGGGATGAAATGCCGCAAAACCCCATCCTTGAGCTTGAAGTTTTTGATGTGTGGGCTATCCATTTCATGTGCCCTTTTATTTCTTCACATAGGAACAAGTATATTTTTGTTGTTGTTGACTATGTCTCTAAGTGGGAGGAGGTCGTGGCTTCCCCTACGAATGTTTCTAAGGTAGTGGTAAATCTTTTCAAGAAGGTGATTTTCCCAAGATTTGGTGTTCCAAGAGCCATAATTAGTGATGGGGGGTTACATTTCAAGCACCACACCTTCGTTTGACTTCTTGATAGATATGGAGTGTCTCATAAGTAGGGGCTTGCTTACCACCCTCAAAAGAGTGGTCAAGCGGAGATCACCAATAGGGAGCTCAAAGTGATCTTTGAGAAGACGGTTGCTAGAACAAGGAAGGATTGGTATTCTAAACTCATCGACTCTCTATGGGCGTATAGGACCGCCTTCAAAACTCCAACAGGGACAACTCCCTATAAGCTTGTTTATGGGAAAAATTGTCACTTGCCCGTAGAGGTGGAGCATCGAACCCATTGGGTTATCAAGCAAATTAACTTTGACCTCCATAGTGCGGGTGAACAAAGGCTTCTCGAGCTACATGAGTTAGAGGAAATGAGGATGAATGCTTACGATAGCGCAAGCATGTACAAGGGACGGACTAAGGTTTGGCACGATGCTCAAATTGTCAAGAAGGAATTTGTCAAAGTCCTAAAGGTCCTCCTATTCAACTCCCGCTTGAAGCTTTTCCCGGGCAAGCTTAGGTCAAGGTGGAGTGGGCCGTACATTATCACGGAGGTATTCCCATATGGCTCTTATGAGATTTCCCAAGACGGGCATACTTCATTCAAAGTGAACGGTCATCGGCTTAAGCCCTACTACGAAGGATTCCCAAGTGATGAACCAATTTCTGTGACTCTTCTTAATATGCATCATCAATTTGACCCTCCTTGATTAGCTCAAGGAACGTCGAGCTAACGACGTAAATCAAAAGTGCTTCCGGGAGGCAACTAGAGTCTCTAACCCTTTTCTACTCTCTTCTTTTCTTGATGCTTTGTTATTTTTCTATCTACAATTTTGGATTATTGGACTTTTGAGTTTTGATTGTGTTGGAATTTTTGGTATGCTTTGCTTTATCATGATTGTATGGTGTTTTAGTATATTTTGAAGAGGGGTGTTTGTGCATATTTTGCTGCAAAATGAGCATTTTTACGTGGTTTGACCGAACTCCCTGAAGGTTCGGTCGAACTTTAAGAAAAGTTTTCCCGAACCTTCTTGAGTTCGATCGCACCTCCTCTGTAAGCTAAATCTGAAAACATTTTGCCAGAATTGCAGAAATTAAGGATTCAGAGTAGGTTCGACCGAACACATAAGGGCTTCGACCGAACCTTAGTTCGCCCAATCATTATTGAGTTCAGTTGCACCTCCTCTGGAATTAAAAACTGGAAACTTTCTGCCCATTTTGTGAATTCAGGGTTAGAGAGCAAGTTCGACCGAACCTTGAGCAAGTTCGGCCGAACTATTTCAAAGATTCGACCGAACTTACCCAAGGTTCGGCCGAACCTTTGACGGGTTTTAAAAAAAAGGCTGCTGTTTTTCCTCACGGTTTCATCAATTCATTTCGGCCTCCCTCTCTCTATTCTCCTCCTTCTCACTCTAAACTCCATTGCAACCCTTCATACAACCTCCCATCTCCATTAAAATCACTCAAATCTTCTCTTTTTCTCACTTATTTTCCATCCTCTAATAATTTCTACAATCTTCACCCAAAATTCCACACAAAAATCCCATCTTTCAATTTTTCCCCAATTTCTAGGGGTTTGAGTGCTTTGGTGTTTTTGGGTTTCTACTTACTTAATATCAATTGTGGTATGGTTTTCCTACCTTTTGCAAGTTCATATCTTCAATTTCACATACCTTCACCATGTTTTTCATGTTTAAATATGAATTGTGGTATTCTTGAAATTGTTGGTAATAGCTTGTTTGATTCATGTGGTTCTTTGGATTTACTTGTTGCAATTGATTGGTAATTGATAGTAGAACATGTTTCATTGATTATTATGCATGTATACCTTGGTTTTATTTGATCTTAATGTCTTTGCTTAAATATGTTGATTTCATGCTGGGGTGTTCATGCTACTATTTGATGATTGAGAAATTCATGAGTTGGATGTTGTTGGAGATTGATTCTCGTTGTTTTTGGTTTGATTTTGATGCTTTGGTGAATGATTATCACGTAATTAGGGGACATCATGCCAAAATTCACCTAGACTTTGTTAGGACTTACATATGAATGTCATAGGATTTCTTGCCCATGCCTTGGTTTAAATGTGTCCATTTATGCCTTGAATTGTATTGTTGTTATCCTCTACATCTATTTCACAACTCAAGGCAACTACTTTCACGCATACACTTTTACCGTGGCTAGCTTCTTATGTCATCTCTTATCAAATTGTCCTAATGATAGCTCTTGGTTATTTTGTAGAATCATGGTACTCGGTAAGAGCAAGTCAAATAGGAAGAGAGTGGGTGAATCTTCATCAACGAATTTCCCGCCGCCCTCCCGACATAAATGATCATAGAATAATTGCTCCAAATGAGCACTTTTGGGACGTCTACAAAACCCTCATCAATCGTCCCATCCGATCAACAAGGTTCTTTTGTCCTACAACGTTGCAAATGCTCGGTATCTTGGATGAGGTAGTCCGGTTAGCACAAAATTTTTTATGGGGTGACTTCATCTACCTCCACGCTCAAACCTATGAGCGAGTGACTTTGGAATTCCTTGCCTCTCTCCGCAAGGAAGTCATAGAGCCGGAATTTAACGATGAGGAACCTCGACTTGTGATACATTTTTGCATGTTCAATGAGGATCACTCCCTAACTGAGAGTGATCTAAACGAGATCTTCCATTAGCATGCGAACGGGCTAGATCATCCGTGCGAGATGACTTCCACTCACCGCATCCCTTACAACGAGCAAGAGTGGTGGAGGAGCATATCTACCAAGGATAGTTTCCAAACTAACGCCTTTAAGGTCAACAACATCATCCATATAGCCATGAGATACTTTGCTCGACTTCTCCAATATGCCATGTTCTTCAAAGCAAACCTCGGCTCAATGGTTAAGGATGAGGTAGCTTGCCTATTTTTGGCCGACAACCCTCAGCGCCTCATGTTCTAATGCTCCTCCACCTTCATCTAAAGGCTTTTGGATACTCGGGAAAACCATCTTGGTGACGATATTTTTATGGGGGGGATGATCACTATCATTGCCCTTTCCTTGAAGAATAGAGCTTATAAGTAACAAATAGAAATGCTCCCCTTTGTGCACCAATACCGAGAGGAAGTCACTGACGAGTATCCTCCCTATTCTCTCTCCCTTAGTGCTCTCCGTCACAACCGCTTCATAAACTACACCAGAAGCAAGCACAAGTTTATCCTCTTAGTTAATAAAGAGGTAGAATGGTGTGTCCTTCCGGTCCCCTCTCTCACTACGGTGGACCACTCCACTCCTTAAATGGAAGATTTTCCGGTAGCACATCCCCGATGAATTGAGAAGAACCCGAGCCCGGGGTGCAGTTCCTCACCCTCCACCGGTCCACCGCCCGGAGCAAACCATTCCCCCCCTTAGCGAGGGAGGTGAGGCATCTTCCTCTTCTTTCTTTCCTCCCTTTTATTTGAATGCCCTCCGTATTACCTCGAGGATACCGCCGTGATAACCAAGCTTCCATTGAACAATGGGGGTACTACGGGAGGATAAATTATGATAATCTTGTACAAGCGGGCATCCAAGAGCCCTATGTTAACTATCCCTACCACCCTCCTCAAGAGGGTCCGGTTAACCATTGCGGGCCCTATGACCCCAACAACCCCACCCCCAATGACTACCCCTATTGGGAGGGTAACATCGACCCTATCAAACGTGTTAGCACCCCACCATACAACCCATATTGCTCGGGTGGGTGTGATCCAGCTTATGATCCGGCTTCCACATCAACCCCAAATCCTTTCGATGGTGGTTGGGGTGGCCATGGGTGGCCCTATGAGAATTTCAACCAACCCTTCCACCCATTTATGGATACTCCCGGGTTTTATTTTGATAAACCCCCTCAACCCAGAGGGCATGGAGATAGGAACCCATGATGAGGGTTCCCTTCCTCCCCTTGGAACTTCTAACTTTTAACTTTTGCTCGAGACGTGCAAAAGACTAGTGTGGGGAGGATGTTTCTCTTTGTTGGTTGAAATGTACATAGGAGGGTAGTGTGGTTGGGTAGTGGCTTGTACATGAGGAGGACTATTGAGGATAGTGGCCTTGTTGTAGTTGATGATGTTGTGATGATGATGATGATGATGATGTTATGATGATGATGGTGATGTGATGATGATGATGATGTGATGGTGATGTTTTGATGATGTTTTTATGATGATTTTTGTTGATTTTTGATGATTCTTGAGTTTTGTGTAGGCGAAGATGCTCCCAAGGAAAAATCCGAAATTCCCGACAATCCAAATTCCCTTAATCCAAACTTTGTAGATAAGTTTTTATTTATTTTTCCTTTTTTTTAATTTATAACTTTAGTCTTTTTCTTTGGTTTCTAACTTTTTCTTGTTTTGTCATAGTTTCTTTTGTTTTGGCTCACTTTTCTTGAAGCTTGAAAGCGGAGACGAAGGAATTTAAGGAGCAACACGAGCTCCCTTGGTGAGATTGTATGAATTATCTTGTCTTCTATTTCAAACGGCATTTGGTGAGACTTTTCCTCTCTTTTATTTTCTCTTTCTTTGAGTGTTTAGTCTAGGTTTAGCTTAGGAAGGAGTTGAATGGTTTGAGGATGTTTTCTTTTAGTTCTATGAAACCTAGGATCATTGATGTTGTTATCGAACGATCACTTGTATGACGATTGGGATTTAGTTGGATTATATGCCTCGTGTGTGAACCTTTTTTATTTCTTCCACTTTCTTTTGTTTTGTTTTTCCCTTTTTGTGTTACAAGCATAACTATGACAAGTTGAAATGATTTTTGATTTGGAATTTGCTAATTCATTTGGATTTGTGTGCCTTTCATGGTGACGTGTCTTTGAATGCTTATCTTCCTAGTTGATGAGGGTTTGCACGGCTTGAGAATTCTTATGGTTGAGTTAGACACATTGTAAGCTAAGGTAGCCCCGTTTTAGAACTTTTGAGGACATTTGAACCCCTATTTCACGGGAAAGTGGTAAGATGAAGTTGCTCTCTGTAGTGGATAGGATTCCCTCTATTTAGTATTTGCTTATTTCTTATCCCATGTGAGCGTCATTTGTTCTAGACTTCATCATTATTGTGAGTGGCATTTTGGATCCTTAACTATGCATGTCTTAATCTTTGTGTTGGTATCTAGCTCCCGAGATCGTGACCAAACAACTCTAGAGGAGGAAGAGGGCATTTCTTCTCATTTTTCGTTGTTTTCTTTGTGTTTTGTTACAAATTTTGTTTTCATTTTTGCATCCACCTACTTGCTAACCAATTTGAGCCTTATTTCCCTTTCTTTACTTAGCCATATTAAAATCCTATCGGCCTATGTTCTACCGACCCTTGTAGTTAGTTAAGCGTTGGCTTGTGAGGTTCGAGTTTGAGAGTGTTGGTTTTGAGCAAGAAATTTGTGTAAATCGTTTCAAGTAAGGTTATGAAAGTTGGTTATGAAAAGAATATGCAAAAAGTTAGTGAAGAAGGTTGCAAAACATGAAAACCAAGTGAAGTTGAAAAAAAAAAAGAAAAAAATGATGAAAAAAAATGAAATGAAAAGAAAAAAATGATGAAAAAAAAGAGAGATGAAAGAAATGAAAAGGGATGAAGTAATGTTGTGAGGTTTGTATTGAAGGTTGTAACTTGAGATTAGGTTCAATTCTTAGGTTGTTCTTGAGAGATGGCCACTCTTTTGCTTCACTTAGGATTTGCCACCCAAATTTTCAAATTAATTCCCAACCTTAACCCCTAGCCATGACATTACAACCCTGTTTAAGACCCTTGGACTTGGAGGAGCGCGGTCAAAGACCGGTGGAGGGAGATAGATTTCAACCCTATGGAGAGAGTATGCATAGTTGAGATGTCGGGATGACCTAATGATTCCACATAAAAATATATTTTTCCAGTTCCCTCGAGGAATCATGAGGAGCTAGCTAAGGGATGACTTGAAACTAGTGGAGAGAACGTGGACCGTCTTGGTTGGGGCTAGGGCGGAAAGTGAAGTCATTAGTTCTCTATGCTTAGCTTAGGTTTGTCTCTTTCAACCGCGAGCACCTTATAACGTTTTTTCCCTCATTGAATTGAGAAAGGTGAGTATTCTTTGGTGCATGTCTTCTCGTTCGAGTTCAAATGAAGCATTTTCTACCTAAGTGCTTAAGTGTTTTTTCTTAACCCTTGTCATGTTATGTTTGTTATGGCTTTCTCATTGTTTTGGTATCCCTTGCTCGAGGACTAGCAAGAGGCAAGTGTGGGGGAATTTGATGAGTGGCATTTATGCCACGATTAAGGTTCATTTTGATGGTCATTTTCCCACATTTGTGGCTTGTTTGCATCGTTTTCTTTGCACTTAGTTCCCTACCCTTTATGCATCTTCTTTCCTAGATTTTTCCCTTTTTCCTACTCTTTAATTTGATTTCCATGATTATTTTGTGTAAGAACCGGGGTCTTCAAGCGGAGGAAGCCAAAAGTTCAAGGAAAGATGAAGATAAGCAAGGTTAAGGAGAGGTTCGGCCGAACCCCCTGAAGGTGCGGTCGAACCAGGGTATGGCCAAAATTGCTCCACTGTCCGGCCGAACGTAGAGGCAGAGTCAAGTTGCATTTGGCGATTTTGCAGGAGTGGTCGAACCTCAGAAATTCGACCAGACCAGGATCAGGGGAGTTCGACCGAACCTACCCATGGTTCGGCTGAACCTACCCTGTAGTCCGGCCGAACCTTCCCAGTGTTCGGTTGGACCACTCCCTTATTTCAGCTAGCTGTGTACGGACTACGTAAGTCCCATTTTGAGAACGTTTTGATGTAATTAGATAAACTTAGTTTTAATTTTCTGCATTTTTTAGCTTCATCTAAAGAGAGAAACACTATTAGTCTTTATTTGGTAGAGAGAGAAAGTGTGGATTTCTTCATTGATGAACTTGAATTTTGAAGAAGAAGCTTGTTTAATCTTTTGTAGATCTTCAACTTCAATTAATGAGCAATCTCTTACTCTTTCTCTTTACCTTTGCATTTAATTTTGTTTGTTTACTTTGATTTTCCTTCTTTGCTTATTGATTATGTTGATGCTTATTGATTTGGTGATTTATATTGTTTTCAACATGATTTATGAGTAGTCACTTAGCCAAGGGTGTGGCAATGGTGTAGTTGCTAATTGTTCATGCTTATAATATTGGGATTAAGTTAATTGTGATTAAAATCTTTGCATGCCTGATATTCTTTGATCTTCTTGAAAGTGCACATTGTTGGTTGATTAAAGGTGAATCTTTGCTAACAAGGAACAAAAGTTGACTTAGTTAAGGTTCATTACTATTGATTGTTCTTTGATTGCACCTCCCAATATATGGTTCTAGTGTGGAAACATAGAGGCTATGTTAGGAGAAACCGATTAACCCCAGAAGGCGGTTAGATTAGACCTTATTTCGATATTCATGCATGTTTAGTTCACTATTGATTTGCTTTTATGTTATTGCATGATCAAGCGACATCTACATCTACCCATTTCCCTTGGTGTTTAGTTATAATAATTTTAACTCGTTTTACCTTTAGTTTAATCTCTTAGTCATTCTTGTCCTTTGTCCCGAGATAGCTTAAAGTCTAGTGATAAATGCGGTGTTTATGTGCTTCTCCTTGTGGTTCGACCCCTCTTCTTGCCATATACTTGTATTAGGATAAGTCGAGTGTTATAAATTGTATTTGATTTAGGTGTACTTGTCTAACGACGCGATTATTTCTTTATCAGGCATGGACATTATGGGTCCATATACGGCTGCTCCAGGCGGCAGGCACTACATCTTAGTGGTTGTGGCTTACTTTACCAAATGGGTAGAGGCAGAGGTGGTCAAAAACATTAAGACAAAGGACGTGATTTCCTTCATATGGAAGAATATCATCACTTGTTTCGGGGAGCCTATGTCTATGGTTTTTGACAATGGTCCTCAGTTTGAGACTCCTCAATTGAAGACTTGGTTAGGATATTAGGGGATCTCCAATTATTTTGCATCAGTCGGCCGACCCCAAGCAAACGGCCAAGTTGAAGCCTTCAACAAATTAATCTCAGACGGCATTAAAAAGAAATTTTAGAGGGCTAGCGGCCTATGGGCGGATGAATTACCACATGTCCTGTGGGCCATCAGAACAATCGCAAAAGGGGCGACTGGAGAGACCCCATTCCTCATGGTGTACGGGGCAGAAGCTGTCTTGCCTATTGAACACTATGAGCCGACTCTTTGGATTATGCTATATGATGAAGAGGCAAACTGGGAGGCCATGCACCTGGCATTGGATTCACTCCTTGAGTGCAGGGGCAATGCTGCCTTGCGCCATGAGATCTACCGTCTGAGAATGACTCGAGCGTACAACAAAAGAGTACACAAGCGTGCTTTAAATGTTGGGGACTTTGTGTTATGGAAAATGGAGGCAGTCGGTAGGGCGAATGAACAAGGAAAGTTAACCCCAAATTGGGAAGGCCCTTACCGAATCTATGAAGAAGTAAGAGGCAGCACCTACCGCCTGGAAACACCAAACGGAAGGAGGCTGCCCAGAACCTGGAATGTAGATAACTTGAAGAAATATTACTTCTAAAATTTTGTAAAGTTTTTTGACTTGTTAATGAAATTTTGCCTTCATTTCATACTTGTCTTAATTTTCTTTTCTTTATTTTAAACACCGGCTGCACAAATTACAGAAAGACCATGCTCATAACAATGAAGGATGCCACCTGCACTATGTGCTGCAGATCCTACTTACCCCCTATGGTACCGACTGCACAATGTGCAGGCGGACCAAAATTTTTATTAGCGACGTTGGAGTATCGCCTGCACAATATGCAGATGGCCAACGCCGAGAATCTGCGAGCTACCGCTTACCCAATAGGCAGACGGCTAAGCACATTCTTAATCTAAATATAATTTTGGGATCGTCTGCCCCAACAGCAGACGCCCAAAAAAAAACCCCTACTGCACCAAAGCAGTCGCCCTTAAACTTATCCTTAAGCTAAGTTAAAAACTTAGTAGCTAACGTCCAAGTGACGAGAGGCCAATGGCTAGATGAAAAACTAAGCTTTTAACTTAGTTATCTTTTATTTTAAGCTAAGTCAATGAATTAGTGGCTATTAAATTCTTTAACCGAGGCCAATGGCCGGATGAATATTACTCCCTCCGTTTTTTAATACTTGCTCCATTTCTATTTTTTGCACTATTCATTTGTGCTACTTTGACTAATATTTGTGATTTATACATAAGAAAAAAATAGTCTTGTGGGTACTTGTTGGAATCATCTCAATGAACAGATTATTAATTTCCAATTGTTAAAATTTATACTTATTGAACAGATTATTTAAACACGGAGGGAGTATTTAAACTACCGTCTGCTCCAACTTGAGTACGATTGTCTGCTCCAACATGAGTTAGGCAACCGGCGACGTCCATTCGGGCGAATTCGTCAAGGAGAAACATCTCCCATTTGGGTGGCACATTTCTCTACGAAAACAACAAGCGGCCTTACCGAATGCGCTAAGGCAGCGCTCGCAGCCGTTTGATTTAATCTAACTTGAAATCTAAAAAGCACCAAGTCTTCCGCCTGTTCTAGTACAGATGGATGACAACCACTGTTTCAGGAATAGAGGCTATCTTACCACATGTCCTTGCTCTGGGGCAAGGCAGGCGGACCAATATGTTCTTAATTAAAATGTTAAGTTAAAAAACTTAGCAATTTTTCCATATTTCTCAAGGCCTTTGGCCGGATTCATTTATAGAACCTTTTTCTCTATATGGCCGTCTGCCACTTGGTTTGGGGTAATCACCATAGTGATTGATTGACTTAGAAACCATTCATACTCTTTAAAGTATAAAAATTATTTCTAATTCAATCAATCCACTCAACTGAAACAAAGTGACATCCGGCCAAGTTCAAGAACATTCGCATACTATACAGGTTAAAATACTTGGCCAAAATTCTATGCATGAAAATTGAAAGCTTTGAATATTTTTACAGAAATTCCTATACATGAAAATTGAAAGCTTTGAAAATTTTTAAAGCATAACCACTAATTTAAATAAAACTTGTCAAACAATCGAATGCTTCATAAAAATAACACCCGTCAAAACTGACGACTCCGAATGTTAACTGGAAAAGCCAGGAATTGTCAAATTACTCGACCCCCTGGTCGCTAAAGATACATGATTACTCGGCACAGAAGCTAGAAAAGCAGGGTAATTGGCCATTCGGCCGCAGAAAGAAAAACATTAAGCTTAAAGATCAGGGGAGCTTCTCAGCATTGGCATCCGCCTTGTCCTCTGGCGCATGCTCCATGGATTCCTCAGCTCCCTCCTGATCATCCTCCTCGTAACCAGAATACGAGCCGCCGGACAAGCTGGATTCCTCGGAGGCATTCTAGGTAGCCGCCTCCTTCTCGCCCGCCTCTTGTGCTTCCCTGAGGGGCCAGGCATTGAACTTGTCGTTTACCTTATCAAACTAGGCCTTCCAAGTTTGATAATCGACAAACGACAGAACAGTTGCCTAGGACGCACGCATGACGACCTCATTATCGTCCATCACTTGTTTAACCAAGTCCTGTTTCTCCTCCTCCATCAAGGACCTATACTTGGTCCGGAGTTGGGTCTCCTGGTTGCACAGCCACCCTCGGAGTCTCTTGACCGTCTCCCCTAGGTTGGACGCCTTGGATTCCGCCTCCTTGAGAGTCTCCAGCTTCTCCTTAAGTCCCTTGACCTTCTCTTGGAACTCCTGCACCCGTTGCTTTGCTGCGTCCAAGTTCTGCTGGTTTTGTAGATTTGTTGACGCTTGGGAATACAACATATCAAGTGTCAAAATTTCATTTTGAGCAATCTCAAACTGAGCTTTGTCCAGAGTAGAGGCGGCCCGAACATTCGCTGCCTTTACCTCCCTAGTCTTCTCATTGAGTGGCCCTTTGAGACTGCTCACGCGCAGCATAGCCTGCAATCGTCCAAAACAAGGAAATTCATCAAAAACCATTCGGCAAAAAATATTAACCAAGTTATAAGAAGAAATTTTACTTCGCAAAGAAGCGCCAGAATTCCATCAAGGTCAAGGGTGCCGACCCCTTTGACCCAGCCTTGTCCTCAGGATCAAGCGTCCTGAGAATCCGCCTGGCCATCTGAAGGTCAGTTGGCCTCACTAGGGCATCTATTAATACAAATACAACTAAGTTAAGACTTTGAACAAGGTTGCACTTCATGAAGCGCATGGTCGGATGGTCGGATTATTTGCCTCCTTCTCCCCTTGCGGCTTCGCTGCTACCTGCTGTGCCGCCATCAGTGGTGAGTGGCTATTTGCCACTCTTCGACAATGGTTGTTGAGCGTCCGAATTTGTTGGAGTTTGGGTGGGGGAAGAGGTGCCCGTTCTCCTCTAAGGCTTAGTGGCGATATGTTTCTTGCGATTCTGGGAAACATCGCCAACAGACTACTTGCGCAGTTTGGGATCCGGTTGAGAAGAAGGGGCAGGCTTTAATAAGCCACCCTAAAAAGAATTCTAAGCATGAGTTTTTGAGACAAAATATACAAAGTATTTCATTAAAGAAATTTGCAAGAGCTGAACAGTTCGTTACCTTAAGAGTGCCGCCTGGTGGCTGTTCATCTGCTTACGAGGTTCGAGCAGTAGAAAGCGGCAGAGATAGCTGGCTTCTTGTGAGAGGGAAGCTTGGCCATTGCTTTTTTTGCAACAAACAACAAAAAGAGTTCGCAGTGAAATAAATAAGAAACAAAATGGGTAGCAAAGCTAATAAATTCATGCGGCCAGCTACCTCTCGGCATCTCAATACTAAGGCCGCAGGCGGCCAAGTACGTCCCGTCCGAGAGCCACTCGAATATGGGAATATAGCTTTGGGGGGTGAATTCCTTGACCCCTGTCTCGTTGTTCATTCGGACGACCACAGTAAAAAGGCCCCGATTAAAAATCTCCTCTTGTGCCCGCCTGGGAACAGGCGGAAGGGCTTTCTTCCAGCCAAGACGAGCGAATACTGGGTCCAGCGATTGTACCGCTTGTTTCTTTGGAGGTCTGGGGAAGAGACAATGTAAAATTTAGTTTTCCAGTCCTTCCATTTTTTCTCTTTCCCTAGCGTCATCATATGACGGGTGTGGCTGGTCATAGTAAACCAGCCGATCCCGCTTGGATTGGGAGTCCTGCTCAAGTAATGCATGTGAGCAAGCGCCACTAAGCTGGGCTCCACCTCCAGCATTTCACAGGCGGCAACGTAGCCCAAAATTTTGACCCAAAAGTTGGGGGCTAGTTTCCTGATACCCAGCTGGTATCCGTCCAAAATCCTCTCCACAGCCAGATGGAGAGGGAAGCGAAGTCCAGCCTGGATAGATTCTTCGTAGCAGCCAAAGCACTAGTCACCATAGCAGGCCATCTCAGGCCAAGTGACCGTGTCCATAGCATCCGGCACGAACAGAAGAAACCCATGTCCCATGACATGGGTAGAAAGAAATTTGGGAAGATCATCCTTCATGATCTTCCGCCTGCCTTCTGGGACGTGCAGATAATAAGGCGCACGTTCTTGTCGCCTGGAAGCAGATGACTCCTCCCAGCCCTCTCCCTTCTCAACGGAGAGGGACTCTCTAGCAGCTTGAAGGTTTGACTGGGCCTCCTCTAAGTCAAGGGGGACGCAGTTGGAAGATTAAGATGCAGAGTCATCATCAGAGCTCTCTTCAGAGCTGGGGGCCCGCTGGCTGGAACCAGTAGTGTCCTCCCCCTGCTCATCATCCGGCATCGATCCACTCGGCCCGGGGTTCTCATACTATTTATCACACTCCTCCAAGAATGAGTTATTGAGGGTGCTGACGGTGCTGGGGGTTCCCTACTTATTTTCGAGACAGGCGCCCTAATGGAGCCGTCAGAAAAAAACAGTCTCACTATCCGAATGGGACTAAGAACCATCCGTCTTATATCTCCGTGTCGTCTGCTTTGTTCTAGCCATCGTGTCCTGCAGGGGCACAGACACTGTCGGATTTGGAGATGTACTTAAAGGAAAGCTCTCGAACCAGCATTCGGCACTCCTAGTTCTAAATTCAGCCATCCCCGGTGACCGACTGATCACTAATCTAGGCCATGCCGGGTGCGTTTGGGAAACCATTTTTGATAAAGAAAAAATGAAAATAAATAAGTAAAGAAGGGATCAGGCGGTCACCTTAGAAGATGGTAACAAGAGTCGTCGGTCTGGGGCGTCTGGTTGAGCAGGCGAACTAAGAGGGTCGACTGTCGGATGCAGAAGAAGTCAAAGTCTTTGCAAGTCAAATTAAAAGATTCTCCCAAAGATTCACGCAAATGTGAATGCAAGGGAGGTCAACCCCTCTATTTATAGAGGGGGTAAAATGTTCATGGTAAAACCCTAGAACTAAGTGAAAAGTAAAAAGTAACTTTTAGGTCATTCATAGCCTGACACCTGTTACAGGCGTCATGTGCCAAGCACGTGACCCTTGTGAGGGGCAAATGTTTTGGGTATTTTACACCCTGCCAAGTGGCCCAATTAGAGTTTAACATGTGTCACTGGAAGGGGCGCCAACTCGGACCTTCCAGATGGTGACACGTGTCAAGCAGATATAGCTCCTGATTTAGGGTATTTAATAACCCCTAGTGGACCAATGAGAGAGCAACACGTGTCACCCTAGGAGGCGCCCAAATGGCCTCTCCAGATGTGTGACACATGTCACCCTAGGAGGCGCCCAAATGGCCTCTCCAGATGTGTGACACATGTCACTCAGATATCCTTTCTCAAAAGGCGACCTTCAAGGCCCAAACTTTGAGGGCGCCGCAAAATGACGTGCCCTAATCCCTAGGCCATCAAACCCTAGGGAGGGCACACTTCCCAAGGACCATATAAATAGGGACATTCCCCTCATTTATGGGGACACGTTACGTTAATTATTGCAATTATTACTGAGCTGTCGTTCTCAAGAAACAGACAACACTTGAGCTTGGAATCCGAGCAGATAACTTAATTTCTGCACGTTTTATTCTGAACACTTTACTAACTTAATCTTCGGAGGCGGACCACCGACCATCCAACGGTCCGTTTGTTTTGCAGGCACAGGCGACCTTGTGATTCCAATCTTGAGCTATAACTCTTCCGAGGGACACGAAAAACCCCGAAACACTCCCCATGATGTATGGGTAACTATATTGCGCACATTGCGTGTGTGGACTCTCCTAGTCAATCTAAAAAGTGTATCCTAAACTTTATCAACCATTTGGGCATCGTCCGGGCACAAAACTAGTACTTGTATATAATTACAAGTATCCCTTTAATTAATAATACTACAACGTTTGTCACAAAAAAAAATAAAAAAAATAAATATTACAAGTGTTTGGGGTAAAAATACCCTAAACACGTGGCCCAATGGCCTAGTGACACGTGGCATCCAGCCGTTGGTCAGCAGGGCTCCAATCCTCTGCTGACACGTGTCCTCTAAACCCTAAAAGGGAAACCATCCCTTCCCCACTATAAATAGTGGAAGGACCCTCATTAATGGGGGGCTGAAACATTTGTTGTTCACATTGAATACTCCTTAAAAAGAAAAACACTTACCCCGAGCAATATTAATTGCAGAATTCTCCCATTACGCGAGAAGTAACTTCTACATTACGTGCATTCTACCTCCCATATCTTTACTAACTTGATCGTCGGAGGCGGAGCTCCTACCCCCAGGAGTCTTCGTGATTTTGCAGGCACAGGCGTCGAAGGGCATTCTTGGAATTGTAACTCTCCCGCAGGACACATAAAAAAACCCCGAAACATTTGGCGCCGTCTGTGGGGAGAGTACTTCTAAGATGACTTCTGATACTGTGTCACCGAATCAGGGCAAACGGCCTGTGGTCGAGCCTGAGGTCCAGACGGACCATGAAAGTGGAGACGAAATTGAAACATATGTGGCCCCGGATGGGTCTTTCAGAACGAAGCACCCTCGTGCTAAAGATAGAAGAGAACGGGAAATCAGCCAAGCTGCTCCCAGCAACCCAGCCGGGCAACCGGCTGGAATTGCCCAAACGGTGGGGGGCTCAGCCCCCGTTACAAGAAACGAACTCATGTCTTTCATGAATAGTTTCAAGGGTGAGATCAAGAGCCTCATCCGGTCAGCTACTCCAAAGAAGGGTCAGCCGGCCAAGAAGCCTTCTGGAAAGAAGGCGGTCAAAGAACGAGTTCCTACCCCTCATCCCAAGCCAAAGGAGGGGGAGGGCTTAAGGTTTGATCCAAGCAGACTCCGTTTTCCTCAAGGGGAGTTGCGAAAGGCCATCCGGCACGTACAGCCGGATGGCTCCAAGAAAACATTCTCAGACGCCCGCACATTTATCCAAGAGAAGCGAGGTCAGGCGTCTGCGTCGGCCTCAACGTCGACCTTCCCGGACAGTTTCCATGACGTGTCACACAGGCGTACGGGAACGAACCTTGGGAGCCAGACGGGCGAAGCTTCTGCCCGGTCTGGACCCAAAGTGATCCAGCCTGGCCTATTCGGCACACCGAATAGGTTGGGTGGATCCCCTTTTATGTCACCGGGTCTTTTCGGTGGGCAAGCGCAGCAGCCGTTCCAACCCACGGACTGGCAGCTGCGCCTGCTAAATTTGGGGGAACAGCCAACGGCGTTCTCACCAGAGATAACCCAGGCGGCACAGCCGCCTAAGATCAAGAATGTTTTGGTGGGGGCCTATGATGGCACCACCAACCCAGAAGACCATATAATGGCCTACTCTAACCTCATGTACCTCCAGGGGTTAGATGATGCCGTCTGGTGTCGATGCTTTCTGGCTACCCTCAAGGGCATAGCCCAGCGGTGGTTTGGTAACCTACCAGCCGGTTGCATCAACAACTTTCGAACTTTGGCGTACTTGTTTACGTCAAATTTCTCAATGAATATTCCTGCCAAAAAGACTAGCCTCGACCTAGGGGCAATACAGCAGGGCGACCGGGAGGGCCTCCGGT